TACTCTCCTCAGCACCAATTGGTTTTGAGGTGGAACTCAATGGATTTATGTAGATATTAGTCTCAAAGATTGTTTATTAGTGTTTGAACATCATTTTGTGGTCAGAAAAAAACAAAAAAAAAAAAAGAATTTTATATATTGATGAAGCAACAAGAATAGAAACTCTCTATTTTTTTTTTCTTCAAAATTTATCAGATACTATTTGAAGTTTTTTCTGCCATTGACTTTTTTTCCCCACAAGTTGCTTTGCAACCTTTTCTTTTTGGCTTTAAATAAATTAGGCTACATTATCTTGTGATTATCCTACATTCATATACTGTAAAGTCCCATCATATATTTCAAATCTCAACCGACTACGCCATTTGCTTAAATAATTAAATCAATTTGTAGGTACTAGTTTTTTTTTTTTTTTTTTTTTTTTTGTATATAGCAGCAGGAGTTGACTCTTCTTTTGGTTTTAGTCCAGCTAGGGCTTAGATGTCAATGGCAGTCTCAAATACAAATGCATATTTACGTGGACTTTTTCACCCCGGAACAATGACAGTAGGACACTGTCTTTGCAACAGAAGACATTTAATTTGGGGAAGGAGATAGAATAGGATAGGATTCTCGGCAGTTTCTGAAGGAGAAGATGATTGAAACATATATATATATATATATATATATATATGTTTAACTTTAGGCAGAGATGGAGTGAGTTAGTTTCATAATTTCAACATATCGAATGATGCATTTCTTGTTATAATTTCGTTGAGGTCACCAGTACTGAATCAAGTATTAGTAAAGTTGTTGGCAGCGAATCCTTTGAAAATTCTATTTCAATATACGAATTACCCATTTCATAATCAATTATAGTTCATTATATAATCTTTTGTTAACAGAAATCTGTCCTAAAAAATAAAAAAAAAATCAAATGATTAGGAAAATCTCATATATATTGCGAATGATTGAACAAGGAAAACAATGGTCCAACAACCTCTGAAGAATGTAAAAAAAAATTAAGGGCACCACACACGGGGGGCTGTATCTGGAAAGAGACATGACAAATCAATTGATAGGGAAAAAGAAAAAAAAAAAAAATCAATGGATGGGTAGTTCTTGAATATTCATCTCATAATTGATAGTGAAATATAAATGGCCTTTCCAAACATATTTTATTTGAGATTGTAATTAAGAAGTTGGTTTAAGGGAAATAAGGGCACTAGTTCTCATAATCATTATTTGGACACAATGTGGCCTCTTGATGACTTCATAGACAACTCGTATTGTCATCTTGGATATCCACCTAAATTGCAATTACGAATTTGAAAATGAAAACATAAGTACTTACTTGCTGCTTAACTTCAAACTCCAAGGGACCATAGATCCCACCTAATGAGATTCCTTGTATGCTTTCTTGACAATGCATCTTTTTCTTGTCTTTTTTTTAAAAAAATTTTATTTTCTGGTGAATAAAAGAAGTCAAACAAAGGTGAGAGAAGATATGAAAGAAGCCTAAAATAGACCCCAAAACAAAAAAAAATGTTGGGCTTAAGAGCATTTCATCTCTTTCGTAAGACGGAAATGTCGGCCCAATTTAAAATGAGATCAACTCTTCTGAGCTCTAAGCATAACTTCCTTTACCCACGCTGATATTCTCACTATGAGATAGGTGTGAACTTATTGGCCCATAAATTTTGTTGTTTGAGGGTCAATTATTGTTTGTTGCCGGACGAGTTCTTTTAACGAAGGTAGTAAAAGTTTCTTTCTTTCTCAAAACACATTTCTTGTATGTTTTATTTTATTGAGCGAATTCATCTTGATATACCAGAATATTATAATATTATTATAGCGATAAGATACGCCGAATACATCACGTTATATATATTGCTCAAACTCTGTTTAGTCAAGGCGTTAAAAACTTGATAGACTCATCACTGTCAATGATGTTAAATAATCGACTATAAACTTGACTTTTTGGAATATGTTACCAAGCTCCACCGTCCACCCGCCTTCTTATGACCAAACGTTAATCAACTTAATTTATGGTTCTTAATCACCGTAGACTAAGATTGAGTAAAAGGTGTAAAATGAAACTGCATGCCGTTTCGGTAATTATGCCCCAAATTAGTGCATTCCCTTCAAATTCGAGGTAAACGAAAGTGACGAGGAATGGGTTCTTTGTTATTGTGCATTGTTTGTTCTTCGTATTTGCATGATATTCACTATTCAGTGTTTAATTTCGTGCAATATAAGTAACTGATAGCCTCTATTGGTCTAAATTTTCCTCCAAGTTGGTATGTTTCATCACAATCATGTGGAATTTCGCTAACACACACCATGAATCAAAACGGGCAGTATACTTATATAAATTCAATTCAAAAGTCTCAAACGGATAATGCAACTTGGGCTGATCTCCGTCAAGTCGATATGTAACTACTTTATCGACCGAACTTGTTGTTTGATGTTTGAACGATGACACAAATAAATAGTCAAAGAAAGAAATGGTGAATTCATTCCGTTCAAGCATTTGATTACTCCAATTTAATTTAGAAGTACAATGTTAAACTGCAAATAAAAACCATTTTTGTGAAAGTCTTTACTATCTAGAAGGGAGGTACGTGCCCAACTGGAATGTGAATTAGTCTGAAATCTCATATATATTCGTATAAAATTATGTTAGGTTTTTACAAAAAATAATATTATCATTGTCTTTAATGTAGTCTATTTTTTGAAGACAAAGAGAAAGATAATAGTAAGAGCGATGTTATGGAGAACAAATCTAGTTTAACAAGTGAAAGAGTATAATCAAGATACTGTCATGTATCTAGGTTTATTAGTTTAATTTGAGTACGACGGCCATACTGCCAAATTACCTCCATTGATGACCTCCAATATTAACGGCTTCTTCTAGGGATAATGGCACCCGGCCGCAGTCATTTTTACATGATCACCAACAAATATATGTGGGTCTTTAATTGAAGAAAATGTGGGTCTTTATTTGCTAAGATTGGTTTCATATTGTGTGGGAATGATATGTATTGATCGAGAATATGTCACAAACAAGTTAATTTTTGTTTCAAAACCGAATGCCAACAATTCTTTGTTCATATGCAACCAACTGAAAAAACAGATTTCTCACTATTTAACGAACGATTGTTAGTTAAGTTTTACTCCTTCCGTCCCAAAATTATTGTCCAGTTTAAACTTTTATTTTTAGTACAAATTTAATTAAAAATGACAATCCAAACTGGACAATAATTTTAGGACAGAGAGAATACTTTTTGGGTAGATTTTCCTTCGAGATTTCTCAAATTGCCCATTATTAATTCTACGTCTACGTTCGAGTAGACTTCCATTTATGCTTCGTTCCCTCTTCCTCACGTAATAAAATACGGAGAAACAACTTGTCTGTTTCCTTGATATACTTTAAGAAAATCTATTAATAATTTTTTTTGAAGGTCTAATTGTTGTTCTTCAATTTTTCTATATTCTTCTTTTTTAAAGGTAAGTTAACTTTTTTTTTTTTTGGTAATTTGCCTTTATAAATTTACGATCTTAAAATCTACAGTTTATGTCCATCTACATACGTCGATTATTTACTCATAAAGTAAGTTAAGAAACAATATCATGTGATGGGTCGTGGTTGAAAACTTAATCATCACGTACTATTAATTCATCCAAACAATCAAAATTCAAGCACATGCATGCTTTGACAAGATTAGTAATAATTAAACCAAAGTCAGATTTTAGTCAGGATGCATGCATGATTAATTTTTTACTCTACCGAAATTATGTTCATATTTTGACTGCTTTGTGTTTTGGATACTATTATATATATATATATATATATATATATATATATATATACAGGTTCGTATCTTCATTTTACTTTTAATAAAATAATCATTTTTGAGATAAATAATTAGCTTTTTTTGTGTGATATCCATACAAAAATCATGATTCGTCACCTTATTTTCCATTTAATATTAAAATGTTCAAAACATGCTAAGAAGTTAAATTCTCAAGGATAACTCTGATTTGTACTCATATCAAATATATAAAACAAGATTGCAAAGAGTGCCACAAAAGTGATTAAAAATGAATCCTCTATATAACCATTCACAGAGAAGAAAATTAATCTTTTTGGGCCGACGAGAAGACATTAATATGAACATATCAACATATGAGAGTGTGATCTTAATTTAGTAGGAAGTTTCTAAATGGACCTTTTAGAGGTCTAAGCATTGATTAATTCCATTTCAGGGTGAGGCATATGGGAGTTTTTAGGGGTGTGAAAAATGTTGTTGCCTCCTTCGATTCAAAGAAAGCACAAAAACATATCAACACATATATTACCTTCATGCCGTGGATTAAAAAGGTAACAAACACCTAAATTTTTTTGTGTGTTATCTTTTCTGTTTAATGATTAAGGTCGTCATGCTTCTCTTACTGAACAAACAACTTCATAACTTCACACTTCGAATTTGTCACAAGTTGTACTCCTTTTAAACAATGCAATCTAAAGATAATTTAGCAAGTCAAAGTGGTGCTAACTTCGGACAGGCACATGGTGATTCCCTTAAGAAAACAGATTGAATTAAAAATAAAATATTCTACTCCATCCATTTCAAAATGTAAGTCGTTTTAGACTTGGAGAAATTTTTCAAAATGTAAGTCGTTTTAGCATTTCAAGGTAAATTAATGACTAATTTTTTAATTTTATCCTCAATAAATGATGTCAATCTATTTTTATTTTGTTTTGTTTATTGTTCCAATATAATTAATGAGGGGTAAAAAAATATTAAACATAAAAATTAATTGTTAAATGATTGTTTTCTTAATTTACATGTAAAGTGTAAAATAACTTACATTTTAAATGGAAGGGGCATTTACTATGAAATGGGTCGCATTTATTTTATTGGACGGGTGGAGTATGAAACGAGAATTCCATAGTTTCCCGCTACCCGAGTTCTATAAATAGCTGCATCATTATCGAATCTAATCCAACAAAAATTTATAAGTCAAGTAGTTTTGTTACAACTTTCAAGCAGCTTAAAAATTATTAATCATATAGAGCTGAAAGTAGTTTTTTTTTTCAATTGATCATGGCTACAAGCTTTGGCTATTACGCATACACAATTTTAGTTATCTTTTCTATTCTAGTAGGATCATGCTACAGCTTTAATCCCAAGCTGCTGAATGTTTCAAGGGTTCAACAGCAGGCTGATGAGTCTAGCGACTGGTCACCTGCTGGGGCAACTTGGTACGGAAGCCCTAATGGCGCTGGAAGCGATGGTAAGGATAAACCAGTCAATACGTGTAGTATCAGATATTCTATCTAAGTGTTAAATTCATGTAGATTTTAATGTTTTACTCCACATGCATATTCATCCCTTCACTAAAAAGATACGTAGACCGATTTGGATTGCAACTAGTAGAAATAATTGATATACCAAATATATTTTTCAATTGTAAAGTTGATATGATGGCGGGATACGTCGCATGCATGTCTTTAGTTGATAAAACCCTAATGTATACATACATACACAAAAATTTTATAGATTACTTCCCAACTGTATTAAAGCAACTCATTTTTCATTTTGCATAATGATAGGTGGTGCGTGTGGGTATACGAATGCGGTTGATCAGCCGCCATTCTCTTCTTTAATAGCAGCCGGAGGCCCTTCTCTGTTCAATTCAGGAAAAGGTTGTGGAGCTTGCTACGAGGTAAATTATACGTCTCCTTAAAGTATAACATCATTTTACATAATATTCAATTTAGCACTTATAGTCTTCACAATTAGTTTGCAACTTAACGGTTGACTTAATTTGTCCAAGGTTAAATGCACCTCAGATGTTAATCCGGTATGCTCTGGATCACCGGTTACGGTGGTTATAACAGATCAATGTCCAGGAGGTCCTTGTACATCAGAGTCCGTCCACTTCGATTTAAGTGGCACCGCTTTTGGTGCCATGGCAACCTCCTCCGACAAGGCTGACCAATTGCGCAACGCCGGAGTTTTGAGAATTCAATATAGAAGGTCTCAGCTTTTTTAATTCGATGTTTTTCTTTTACTACTTATTTTGAAATTTTTGGAAAATAGAGAGTTACAGGTCCTTCATTTGAGTTTAAACTATTTTTCTGAAACTGGAAAAAAAAAAAAAAAAACTCATTGACGTTTTCTTTTACCATCCCTTGGAACACAAAATGTACAGGGTGCCTTGCAACTATCCAGGAGTATCGTTGACCTTCAAGGTCGATGCCGGCGCGAATCCAAACTACTTTGCTTCGCTGATTGAATACCAGGATGGAGATGGTGATCTTTCAGGTGTTGAGCTGAAACAGGCGCTGGATTCTGACACGTGGCTTCCCATGCAGCAATCTTGGGGTGCAGTGTGGAAATTAGACACTGGGTCAACGCTGCGAGCCCCGTTTTCTCTTAAGTTGACTTCCGATTCCGGCAAGACTCTGGTGGCGAACAATGTCATTCCGGCCGGTTGGCAGCCCGGAGCCACTTACAGATCCGTCTTAAATTTTAATGTATAGTCGTCGTTAATCTTAACGTACGCTGATACTGGAGTATTAAACTGTTGTTAAAAAGAATGTCCGAATTAATTAATTATACGGACTAGTCGTTGATTGATCCTAGCCCGGCCTAATGAGCCCGTGGTGACAGTGATGATCAAATAATAAATTGTAATAATCGTGTCCGGTTAATGTTTGTTATAAAATGATATCTTGATATGTGTTACTCAATTCCGTTCCATTACAATTAGCTTTATAATGAATGAATGATGAACATTATTAGAACATGAAATGTCCATTTCTTTGTTATCATGTTTATATATAATGCACAATTAAAATTTTTGTGATCCGATACTATAACACAATGGCAAATAGTAACATTTGCATTTAGAAACTGTAATTCTGGATTTACCAAAAAAACAACTGTAATTCTAGTCACTAACTTGGTAATTTCAGTAGGAAATTGAAATTAATGAAATATATTTGAAAAATATGGGATTATGGTAATGCTGAACTCATAGGTACATCCTACCAATAATGATGTACAAAGTTTGAATTGATTAATAAAATTTACCTTTTAACCCCCAAAAAAAGGAAAAAAAAACCTACTGACATGCCACTAGTGTTGGGATTACGACTGCATAAACTCTTTTTATTTATACTAGAAAGGCGGTGCACTTTGTGATGAACTTGGAGGATTCTCAATCTTCTAAGCATAAACATCTTTAGCCCACTGACATACCATAATTTAAGAAGAGAAATCATTATCATCACTCGTTAGATCGTCGCGCTCTGAATACTGATGCAAACGTAATCTCGTAGTAGAGTTTCATAGAAATGTTGTTTTTGTAATGTTTTAACATATGCATCTAGTCTCGCTATGTTGGATAGTTGTACCTCCGAAAGCTGTAACCTGACTTGAATGAAAATTAGTTTTCACAATGTGTATTCGTTTATATTATCTCATAATTTTTATAACAAAAAGTCGTATACATGCATTTAATTAGTATAAAGCCAGTAGTTTATTTTTTCTCAATTTTATCGAGAAAAGAAGTAAAACTATGAATAATGATATTTTTTACCTTATTATATTTATGAATAGTCGGTATTTAGTTATAATTTCCTGAAACAAATACCGGCTAAAATCACATTAACAACCAGTGAGTGGAGTGATATACTAGCGACATAGAATTTGCTACACATATCATTAATCAAAACTTAAATTTATCCCATCCGCTTTTATTTTTTTATTTTTTCTAATGTAAACCCTAAAACTAATTTTGTGGGAGGATAGAAAGTTCAGTTAACGCTGAGAAACAAACCTTAATTTGCACATAAGATCCTGATAACTTTAGCACCACTTTAGTGCTGGTCACTTGTTGAGTTCGAGAGGTTTAAGTTAAGAGATTGCAAGAAACAATGTGCAAAATGTGGTACTATATCGATCTTTTACCTCCATTCTCCTTAGGGAATAGCTAGGCATAGAATTTGTTGGAGTAACGCCATAATATCTTTCATCCAAATCAGCTGCACCTGTCCATGTACAAATGTACGTACTGAATGGCATCCCGAGGTCCTGAATAGGTTAATCACCTAATATTAAGATTAAGTAAAGAAGTAAAACAGCATGCTGTTTCGGTAATTATGCCCCAATTAGTGCATGGCCTTCAAGTTCGAGGCAAACAAAGTTACAAAGAGAAGCTCATGTTTGCACGTTTTAATTTCGTTGCACGTACGTACGTGGTATATAGAGGATCTACTAGCGACTACCTCTTTAGACTCTATAGCTCTAGTGGTCTAATATATTCTCATTCACTTTGGTGCTCTGATTTTGGCCACAATCATATTCCAGGACATGCATACTAAAAGGAACTTGGCATGATAGAGTTACAACTTACAAACATCAATTAATTCCAATTCGAACAGATCATGTATGCAAAACTTTCTTACTCAAGTCAGTTTGTAACTGCTTTCTTACCCAAATTATGTTTGATATTAAAGCCTGGACAAGTTAATTTACTACGTTCATCCTATTTAATAGTCTTACAAATGATACAACAAAGGAATTATTGAAATGGGGGACGAGAGTAAGAGATTATTAGTTTCGTTCGGCAAGACTTTAAGAAAAGAGGATTTCCTAATCTCTATTCGATTTCAATTTTTTATTTTTGCTATATTCACACTCCATAGTTGCTTGAAGTGATGCACACTACTACTTCTTACCACTAGAACCAACAATAGTGATTCTTTCGCAAACTTTTTTTTTTTTTTTATGAGGCTATATATCTTTCAAAAATTGGAAATGGGGATTTCACGGGAAAATAAATGTAATTAAGAGTTGATGGTGGGGTGGATGTGTGATAATTGTTATGTTTTTTAGAAGAAAATTTCATTCATATGTTGAAAATCGTCCAATTGCGTTTGACGGTACAAAGAAACAGTTGAAAACACAACTTACAATATATTACTATTATCATATTGTTGTATTTACAATGAATAAATCTACACAGATCCATCCAAAATAAGACTGAACATATCACATACCGAGATTCAGATCCGGTTAAGAATATATCACTAATTATCATATGAAAACTCCAAATTACAAATCTAATAAATATATTTATAACGACTGATTCTTGTTGAAGAGTGAACAAAGAGCCCGCGAGCATCACCAACGACATCACGAACACTGCAGACGGCATACCCTACCCTCAACCAGTAGATTCAACCTACTGGAGGAACACTATAATCAAAAGTACTATACCCTCTCAATAGATCACCCAATTAATCTATTGAAGGAACTTTTGAGGTTAATCCCTTTATTAAAAGGAGAAGAGAAATAAGAATACAATAAAATTAAAGAAAAAATTATTTCCCCATCCTTCCTTCCATGGTGGAAAGATGGGAGAAAATTGTTATTGGTTAACCATAAATTTTGGAAGGTTAATCTCAATGTTGATTGTCTGGCATCGTTATTGTAAACGTTTTTTATATTTCTTGTAAATTTTTATTAAACGTATCATTATTCAAAAAGTTGATGAGGTATAAGCCAAAATACTCGGCATGTATCAGGGTTGATTTGTTGAATTCGATAGCGACGGCCATGTGGACGGTTCGTAGACATTGCCAATTGTATTGTAACGCATGCAAAGATTAGTTGATCAACGGCTAACGGCCAAATAACCTTTTTATCCATTAACCTCCATTAACGGCTTCTCATGGGCAACAAATTATGGCCCCCGGCCTCTGTCAATTTTACATTATGGCCGTCAAATCTGGGTCTTTGTTTGCTATGATTTTTTTTCACTTTCTAGTTGACTTTGTAGCAATTACTTCTAGACTTCACTAATTACTGTTGTTAATGAATTCTTCCTTTTTTTTTAATTTTTTTTTAATAAAATAAAAACCGTTTGAAATTTCAATGGTGTTTCCATTCATTACTCTTTACTAATAGAAAATGATATTCATCTCACTAAATTCATCTCAACCTATCATCTCACCTTACATATCAATTATTTATTTTCTTATATTATATAACCTCTATAATCTATATATATATATATATATATATATATATATGTTCAATCGATGAATGAAACAGTAACGCCAGTTAACTAACTTACTTTAAAAGAACAAAGAAGATCGTTTTTATATTTTGATTGCTTTGGATCCTCAAATGTTCGTTTGCGTGCAATATGATTCATACACTATAAAAGATTTGACGTTTGTTTTTCATTTTAATACAAAAACATTAACCAAGTGGTAATTGAACTGAAATAGACACTTACCTGGTTGTTCCAGTAGTTAAAAATTAGCCTCTTTTTAACCATTCGAAAAAATAATCTTTATGGACCACATTAAGACACAACCCAAACGCATCAACATGTGAGAAATTATTTTATGGAGCCGCTGCACCACATCAGCAATTATGATTTGGTGCAGCAAGCCAATCTCCTAATGATACGTGTAAAATAAACATAATAACTTACTTTTTGTTTCCTAAAATGAGTTTGCTAAAACTTTAACTGATGCTTTAAAGTCGGAAAGTCCGAAGTTATCAATCAGTAACTGATATCAGAAAAATAATCAATCAATAAATAAGCCATTCACTACGGTCATCGACGTCGGAATATAACTAAAAAAGATGAACAGGTGGTTGATAATTTAGAGGGAATAAAGCTAAGACAAAAGGCCATCATCTCTCCATTTTTTCTAAACCTTCTTCGTCTTTTCCCCATAACAGAGGAGTTGAAAATCACTTCTTCCTTCTTTTCTCTGTTGTAGTATTAAATTCAACTCCTCTTCTTCTCCAATACTTTGATTGCTTTCTTTTGTTTAGATCCACCGCCAATGTACACCCTTTTAATTTTTAATACGTTGTTCCAATTTAAGTACTTTGTTCCTTCTTTATTGTCGGAAAAATTCAAGAATAAAATAGCCAGTCGGGCTGGTGGCGTTGGAAATAGAGAAATAATGATTGCTCATTCAGAACAAAATTCGTGAATTATTTTTCTCTTGATAGGTCACCGATAAAATTGCTTCATTGCCGGCCGGCGTCCAATGAAGTGAATTCTGGAGATATGCAGTACATGGGATTTGATAATTATAAGGCCATGGGTAAAAAAAAAAAAATATTTTTTTAAAAGATTATTGTTGATATTAAAAACTTACACGTGTCAAATAATTATTGGCTTACTGTACCAAATCATAATTGCTGATGTGGTGCAGTGGCTCCATGGAATAATTTCTCCCAACATCTACATCTCGTTCTGTCTCGGATAAATCAGGTAAAAGTTAAAGACTTAATTTTTTTTTTATAACTTTTTTGTGTTTGTTAATCAGGGTCACGATTGTCTCAGTAAATGACGAACTGAATTCCAATTTGTCAAGAGAAATGGTAGACTTTATGAATCTACATTCTAAAAATAGTAAAGCAAGTCAAATTGGTGCTTACTTCGCGCGGGCACATGGCAAAATTCCCTTAAGAAAATGAACTGATTTCAAATAAAATATGAAACCCAAGTTTGGCAGTTTCCCGATACCATGGCTCTATAAATAGCTTGCAACATTCCTCGTTCTAAAATCCAACAAAAAGCAATCAATTAAGCAGTTGTTGCACAACTTACAAGCAGCTCATTTGATCAAACATTTGATAGTACTTAATCTTCTTTATTCGATCATGGCTACTAACTCGCTCACATATTTAGTCATCTTTTCTCTTCTTGCAATCTCATGCTCTAGCTTCAATCCCAAACTGCTGAATTTTTCAAGTATTCAGCAGCAGGCTGATGAGTCTAATGGCTGGTCACCTGCTGGGGCAACCTGGTATGGAAGCCCTAATGGTGCTGGAAGCGATGGTAAGGCTAGATCGATGCAATGTGTATACGTAACCAAATGGGTCCTATCCATACTGTAAAAATTACGTACATTGGAACCTTTTTGAATGCATGAATGTGTCAGATTGCACCATCTGACCTTAAATAGTACTCAATATGTCTCAAAAAAAAAGTTCATATTAACTTTTTTTTTTCAATAAATGTTTTAGAATTTATACTAATTTTAGTACAAATCTTAAATCTCAATGTGAATTGCTTTGTTAGGATACAGGTAGTAATTAGTAAATATTTTCTCTTTCTCAAGTGTATATATGATGATTGCGGGACTCGTTGGAACTCTTATTCATTCCAGTGTATACATATGACATACAGATAAAGAATGGCATCTCAAAATTATGTGACTTGTTTACAATGGAAGAAAAAATGATTGGGAAATGTAAATTGTACTTTGCTACATAATATTGCAGTACTATAATTAATTGTTCGTGTTTAATATTTACATATGGAAAAATTTGTAGGTGGGGCGTGTGGATATACGAATGCGGTTGATCAGCCACCATTCTCTTCTTTAATAGCAGCCGGAGGCCCTTCACTGTTCAAATCGGGCGAAGGTTGCGGAGCTTGTTACGAGGTAATTAAACAATGTCTCCTTAAATAACATCATTTTCATATTCAATTTTGGTACTTATACTCTTCACAATTAGTTTGCAACTTAATGGTTGACTTAATTTGTCGCAGGTTAAATGCACCTCAGACGTTAATCCGGTATGCTCTGGATCACCGGTTACGGTGGTGATAACGGATCAATGTCCAGGAGGTCCTTGTACCTCAGAGTCCGTCCACTTTGATTTAAGCGGCACCTCTCTTGGTGCCATGGCCGCCTCTCCCGACAAGGCTGACCAATTGCGCAACGCCGGAGTTTTGCAAATTCAATATCGAAGGTCCAAAACTTTCAACTAATACTTTTATTTTTTTTGCAGCAATGTTTGACAAAATAAATCAATAGGAATTAATCTCATCGGGATGTTCGTTTGCATGGTAGTAGAATTTAGGCCTATAGTCTTAAAAGTAAATAGTCTGTTTTGTTAAATTTAAAAAAATCGTAAAAAAAATTTTTTTTGAGGCAGACAATTTCACTAACAATTTTACCATTCCTTGGACCATATATGTTGTTGTCACAGGGTGCCTTGCAACTATCCAGGAGTATCGTTGACCTTCCACGTGGATGCTGGCGCAAATCCAAACTATTTTGCTTCGTTGATCGAATACGAGGATGGAGATGGTGATCTGACAGGAGTTCAGTTGAAACAGGCGCTGGATTCACAATCATGGCTTCCGATGCAGCAATCTTGGGGTGCAGTCTGGAAATTAGACACTGGGTCAACGCTGCGAGCCCCATTTTCTCTTATGTTGACCTCTGATTCCGGCAAGACCCTGGTAGCTAACAACGTCATTCCCGCCGGTTGGACGCCCGGAAGCACTTACAGATCCATTGTTAATTTTTAAAGCCTAGCTAGTCAGAACTACAAGGATATATACTACCAAGTTATAATGTACTCCATCCGTCCCAAAATTATTGTCCAGTTTGGATTTTCATTTCTAGCAAATATGAAAATACAAACTGGACAATAATTTCAAGACTGAGGGAGCAATAATAACAATCGCATTATAACCATAGTTTAAAGTTGTAATAATCAAGTTATAGTAGTCGATTGATCCTATAGAGCCCGGCCAAGTTCATGAGCCTGCGGTGTGTGGGTTAATCGAACCAGTTGTAACATTCCGATGGACCGTTTTTTATAACTGTCCCGTGAACGTTTGATTATAACGTCTAGATATTATATCGAATGTACTAAGTATCTGTTATAGTACTCCATTTTACTAGAAGTCTTCACGAATTCACAGTTTCTGCGTAAGTATTAATTAATTCTGCTTCAAATTCATTGCATCTCAGTTTCATGATTTTTCTTTTTTTCCTTTAATAATATATCATAGTCTACTAATTTGATTACATCGTAGATGTTTATAAATTATAAAAAATATAATTTCACCATTATGTTAGACGATCATATATCAGATGCAGAGATGGGCCAATTTTCGACAGCAAGACTAAATTGACCACAATCAAGAAACTTTAGGACCAAATATGTCCGGAGTAAAATTTTATGGTTATATCTAAGATGATGGTAAATGTTGGGGGACCAAAAATGTTTTTCTCTCTATATGCATGCATGATTGAATTTGATGGAGTGACTATTTTATTTCAAGGTAGGTAATATGTCCACCAAACAAAAAAATCTTCATAGCTAATGAATATCATTGTAAGTAAAATTCAAATAATTGGATGATACATTACATTCTATAATCTTATAAATTTTTTTTTGTTTATAAATAGGAGCACTTCTTTTATACTTCAGCATCCTGTATCAGTTTCCATAGTAATATTCAGTCTTCAAAGATGGCAAAATTGCTCAATTTCACTCTTCTTTTGTCATCAACATTGTTCATCTTGTGCACTTGCACTATTGTTTCCTCCTTTAATGTTTCCCTTAATGATTTTGCCCCTGCTGTTGCCACATGGTACGGAGAAGGTACTGGAGCTGGAAGTGGTATGTTAAATAAGTGTATATATAGTCTTTTAACTTCGATTGATGTGATCTTGCTATATGAATTCCAACAGAAATCTAGGCAAAATTTTGTGTTTTTTTTTTAAATTGCTTATAATAGATTAATCAACATTTGAATTATCGGTTAAGAGTCGCTTAAAGTTTAACACGATTATTTCACTATGGAATTGAACTTTGTGTGTGTTTCTTAATTGATAAATCAATTCACTATTTCTTTAACCTCCACACAAGATTACATTTTGATAATCAAGCAACCTATTACTAAGTTTAAAAAAAAAAATGGGATGTGACATGAAAAGCATTTTCTTTTGTCTTTTTTTTTTTTTTTTTTTTTGTATTCTCCGAGTGTAGTTAAAATACGGATTTTACAATGTCCCTTTTTTCTGACCAAATTTTTCAATGGCATGATTAACTGATATATATAGGAGGAGCCTGCGGAATTGAGGATGGTGACTTAGGGAAGGCACCTTACTCATCGCTTACTGCTGCTGGAAATGATGCCCTTTTTAAAGACGGTGCAGGTTGCGGAGCTTGCTATCAAGTATGTAATATATAGTAGTAATCAGTTACTACTAAGAATTGTTGATTAATTGTCTCTTTCATTACTTAGTTTTAATCCAAGGATTAATTAACATTATTACTATTTATATTCATACATTTTTTAATGTGTCGCGCAGGTTAGATGCTCATCGAATCCAGCCTGCTCTAATAGCGCCGTGACAGTGGTTATCAGCAACCAGTGTCCTGGATCATGCAATGACGATCCCGTTCATTTCGATTTAAGCGGTACGGCTTTTGGAGCTTTGGCCAAATCTGGTCAAGCTGAACAATTGCGCAACGCTGGTAAAATCAACATCGAATACTCGAGGTTAGTACTAGACGAAAATGAAAAGGTCACGAGTTTGATTCTCACCAGAGTATATATATAACGTGTATTCTGTCGTGTGGTAGGGTACCTTGCAACTACGGAAGCCAGAAGCTGATGTTCCGTGTAGACAAAGGTTCTAACGTAAACTACTTGGCGTTTGTAGTAGAGTATCAAAATGGAGACGGAGACCTTGGTTTCGTGGAGCTCCAAGTTAACGGTGCATGGCAGCCCATGCAACACAACTTTGGCAGGAGCTGGAAAATTAATTTGAATCCGACGTTACAGTCAGCAGCCTCCGTTAGGTTGACCACCGGACTCTCCAAGAAAACCCTCGTCGTTGACAGCATCATTCCGGCGAATTACAAACCTGGAGATGTCTTTGTCGCCACTGTTAATTTCTAAGAGAGATTTTGGTAGCTTTTTATTCTTATGTAGATTTATAGCTTTATTGATTACCAAACAGAAGTCCAATAATATGTATCACAGAAAAAATAAATAAATTGATTGCAATTATCAGCGGGTATACCTTTGAAATTAAGACGAGTTCCATAATTTATTATTATTATTATTATTATTTTGTTTCATCTCAATCATCTTTCATTGATAGTATTAAAACTTTTTTTTTTAAAAAAAAACGTCAGCTAATTACATGAAATAATTTACAAATTCTAAATTTGTTGAATTTGTGAATCATAAACTTGAAACTACAAATATGTTCCACTAAATACAGCCTACTTCATCTGAGTCTCATAGAGTAAAAATGCAAAACCAAAAATATATCTATAGAATTTTGTTATTACTATGACTATTGACCTCTTTGTCTTTCTTTTTTCTTAAACAAAGTTGTAATATTCACTTTAGATTAATTAGTTCTGAAAGTTTTTAAAACAAATCGACAAATGATTGCCTGTCAAAGCACATAAAATTCACTTTAAATTAATTACTTTCTGTGAATCTGTTATGTTTTTTTTTTTTTCTCTCTCTCTCTCTCTCTCATTTTTGGTTAACTTTTTTTTTTCTTTTTAACTCCTAAAAAGTAATATTCCGGCTTCATTTTTTCCCCTAAGTTCTAGGGTGTCACGACAGCGAATCTATTAGTTTTTTCCTATATAAACTATGGAAATCGTCCCTTATTAATCCCAACAATGTGTGTAATATTATTACAACACTAAAAAGCTCGAGATCAATCAGCTTAATTCACTGTTTAATTCTTTTCAAATGGATTCGAAGATAATTGTTCTTCTCACATTTGCAGCTATTTCAACTTTTGGTTCTTGTCAAATTACCACCCAATCATTAAACGTAACTGGATTTAATGGTTTGGCATCCGCAGTAGCAACATGGTATGGACCTCCTAATGGTTTTGGAAGAGATAATCATCATCTAGATTTTTATTTCAAATTTTGTTTTAAAATGTATCAATCTCCATGGTACAAATTATTTCGTGGGATCATAATTAATTCTAATAGTACCGTATTTAGTGCATAATTCTACCCAGAAATTTTAATCCTCCAGGTATATGGTTTGGAAAAACTACAGGAGGAGGATATGGATTTGACAACGATGTCGCAATTGCACCTTTCTTAGGCAAAATAGCTGCTGGAAATCGAGCCCTATTTAAAAATGGCAAAGGCTGTGGATCTTGCTATTCAGTATGTATCTATGGAGATGATAAATCATTCTTATCATTCTAAATTTCTCGAATTTTAACAAATTTATCATCTAAATAGGCATATTGAAAATTATTTGTAACATTTATTTCAAAAAACAACTTACTAAAAAGTGTAGTAATTCAATTGCACTTAATTAATTGGTGTACATGAAAATTAGGCGACCTTTAGCTTGCGAGAAAAAAATTGTTCAATTCAAGTGTCTTTATATATGCAACCCTTATTTATTATTTGTTTATTATTTAAAAATAGGTCTTATGCAACCAAAATCCAGCCTGCTCCGGCCGGCCAGTAACGATAACAATCACCGATGAATGTCCAGGTGCTTGCAACAATGACGCCGTTCATTTTGATTTAAGTGGAACTGCTTTTGGTTTGTTAGCAAAGCCTGGACAGGCCAACGCACTGCGTAACGCCGGCAGGATCAACATTTTGTACCAGAGGTATACTTTATGCAAGAGTTTATTTATCTCCTCTTTTTTATTTTATTTTTCATTTTTCTGCACCTGCACATATAATATTAGCACACTTAATTTCAGACTGAAAGGTCAATGGGGTCACTAGTTAAAATCAGTCCTTTTGGTTTTTGCACATTTGGTTTTTTTTTTTAAAAAAAGAAAGAAATAAATAAAAGGATAATTAAATTGATGTTTAGGAAACTAAATGGATCTAATGTGAGGAACAAAATTGAACTGAAGCACAAATTGAAGAAATTAATAATACTAGTAATTTCCATTTGCGAACGTCTTTCTTTTTTCCTAATTATTTCTTTGGCTCTAAACATTTTTGAAGGGTTCAATGCTTCTATCCTAACGAGAAAATCACGTTTAAAGTTAACACCGGTTCTAACCGATACTTCTTCGCCGTTGCCGTGGAATACGAGAACGGAGACGGCGACGTTGCTTCACTGGAGATCCAACCCGCGGGATGGAGACAATTTGTACCAATGCAACAAATGTATGGTTCAACTTACAAATGGAACATACCAAATGGGGCTAATGCGCCTTATTCCATCAGAGTAACCGAAGTTGAATCAAGAAGAAGCGCTGTGGCCCAAAATGTGATTCCAAGGGGTTGGACCCCTGGTGCACACTACACAGCCAACGTTAATTTCTTATAACTAATTTAGGAGGAACGGAATTTCATCATAAATTTTCATCAAATTTTATTCGCCGTGATAATTTATCGTAAAATATATTATGTATATGTAAAACCCACGTGAATAAAATTTTACTTCGTACCGTTCTCGGGAGTTTATAAATGAAATTGTGGTTTTTTAGTTTATATACTTTCAATCTTCTTGTTTAAACGTAATGCTGATTAATTGGTTAACTTTATCCCTCTAAAACACAACCTAGTAGCTAGTGGACTGAATTTGCATCTCCTTCAAAGGGTGGTCGATATTGCGAAAACAAAGCCCAAAGTTCACTGAGAGACAATGTTGTCAAAATCCCCTATACAAATATATATATTAAAGATTACTTGGGCAGCTGTTTTGAAATTCAAGTGTGCAATATACTAAAAAATTTATAAATTTATGACGAAAGGATGTCGAATAACTCTATTTTAGCCCTCTTTTAGATCAATCTTTGGAAAATGACAATGTGATTTGGCAAAATCGGGAAGATAACCAATGGAACAAAGCGCATACACAATATGAAATGAGGCGAAAAAGTAGTTAAAACCAAACAACAAACAATTGATTTGAATGAATAGAAAAGCAGGATAATTGTAGGGATAAAAACAAATTGGAAAATTAATTAAAATTTAGAACCATCCCTTTTCTTTTTCTTTTTTTTTTCCTATGTGAATTGCTTTACTCCCACCTACGGAGGAGAGGAAAACACTCTTAGCTCACTCACACATTCGCTCCCCACACCCACCAAAAACATATATACTAAATTAAGCTCAATTTTATGCCTAGAAACGTAAATTAAACTATTATAGTGGTGCATTTATCATTCTCCGCCGTCCGTTTCACGGTCGTTGGTAGGCGGCGCCACCTTTACGACGGGGTAGAAAAAGTCCTCAGCTTTTTACTCTCCTCCCACTTGTCACTCACACTACTACTATTTTTCTCTGCCTCAAACTCTCGTCCACACAACATACTCAAAACTAAAAACTAGGACCAACCTTTACTTTGTTTCAACCATGTAACAACTTTTTTTACTACAGCAAACAACATTATTAAAACAGAGAAGAATTAGATTAACTTTATTTAAGTGCCCTTTTCATTTCTATTTTCTTCCTCACTTAAATTGACCAACTTCTCTTTCTTCTTCCTTCTTTTTTTTTTCCATGTTGTATAATTAGTTGATTTGAAAAAAATGGCTTGTACAGAAGAACAACAGCCAATGTTCAAGCATTATTGTAGGATATGTAAGAAAGGTTTCATGTGTGGTAGAGCTTTAGGTGGGCATATGAGGGCTCATGGCATTGGTGATGAAAGTCCAGCTATTGATGATGATGATCCTGTTAGCGATTGGGAAGATAACAAATTTGGAAGTGGAGATAACAATAGAAGTAGTAGGAGAATGTATCAACTGCGGACCAACCCGAATCGGTTAAAGAGTTGTAGGATTTGTGAGAATTGTGGGAAAGAATTCTCTTCATGGAAATCTTTCCTTGAACATGGCAAATGTAGCTCGGAAGATGCTGAATCATTGGTGTCATCTCCTGGGTCAGACGGCGAATATGAAGAAGGCGAACGTCGTGGAGGAGGAGGAGGAGGATGCCAACAATGGTCAAAAAGGAAAAGATCATTGAGGACTAAAGTTGGGAGCTTTTGCTTACCTTATCCAAATAACTCTAGTGAATCAGATGAAGACTTGCTTATGGCAAAATGCTTAGTTGATTTGGCAAATTCCGGAGTTGATCAAGCTGATGAGCCTGATCAAGAATCTTGTGCTTCCGCCAGTAAGGATGACGATCAAGGGCGAAATCATAATAATCCGGTCACCGCATACTTCAATCACTATCCTTCTTCAAATAGATACAATGACATTATAGACAAGCCTAATAAAAGTACCAATGCTTCTTCCAAAGGAAATGGATTGTTTGAATGTAAAGCTTGTAAGAAAGTGTTTAATTCTCACCAAGCATTAGGTGGACACAGGGCAAGTCACAAAAAGGTTAAAGGTTGTTATGCAGCTAAACAAGATCAAATAGATGACAATCTTACAGCTGATGATCAAGATGTTATTACTCACGACGAGTTCTTCCCTTCCAAACAATCATCACATCATTCATCGTTTCAATATGAACAAGGTTCGACAATTAATGGTGGAGGAGGAGGAGGAGGAAGTTCAAGAAGGAAATCCAAAGTCCATGAGTGCACAATCTGTCACAGAGTTTTCTCAACAGGACAAGCATTAGGTGGGCACAAAAGGTGCCATTGGATCACTTCCAATTCAGCTCAAGAACCTAATACTTCTCCATTAGTAAAGCTTCAGTTCCATGATCACGTGGATCATCAGATAACAACACATCAGGGAAGTAGTACTCCAACAACATTGTTAAACAAATCTGAAACTGTACTTGATCTTAACATCCCTGCTTCCTCCGCTGCTGCTGCTGCTGCTAATAATCATCATCGAGGCGATCGCCATCCTTCTCTGACATTAAAGAGAGACCCTCAAAACCTATTGAGCTTTGAGGTATCCACCGACATTCGGCTACACACATGGACTAACTTAGACGATCGTAATAGCCATGATCATGAATGTCACAAACAAAACAACAACCGCAACAACGCGGGAAATGAAAACAAGAACAAGAACAACAACACCAACAACAAGAATGTTGTGGATGTTATAAGTAGTGATCACGGTCCAATGGAGAATGCAGATGATGAGGCTGATAGCAAGGTAAAATTGGGAAAGCTAAGCGATCTCAAGGATATAAACTTAAGCGGTAATACGTCGCAATGGCTGCAAGTTGGGATTGGCTCAGCAACAACAGATGTTACTGCTCATATATAGGTAGCTAAAACAATTTAGAGAGAGTTTTTGGCTGATCAAAAGTGTCCATTTGAATGTATTCTTTTGTATCATCAAACACATAATGTATAGATTCAAATGTACATCCTTTTTTTTTTTTTTTCTTTTGTTTTCACTTCATGTGGAGATTGAAGTGAAATTAACAGAAAGTTCATACAGAGGTTATGAAAACATTACAGCATGTCATTTGTTCATATATAGACATAGTTCTGCAGACACATGGGTTAATCAGTCCTGAGTTTTGGGTTAAGGATTCCATATATGTTTTACACATTATGCTTTGGCTTTGCAACAAACTAGCATTCATTATGATGATATTAGGAATTTTGTTTCTGCAGAAAAATCGAAATTTGAGATCAAAATTCTCTGAAATTTCCTCATTTACATTAAAAACTCATACCCAATAAATAAAACAGAGTCAAAGAAACAATTAAAAGGCAGCCCCATAGGCCAGCCCAAAGTGAGTTCGGGCTACTAAACTTATCCAACAATGAAGTATTCTTTTTCATTGTTTTGTCCATGACTGGAGTGGATTATATAATTTTTTTTTTTTCAACTGGCAATACAAAGGTTAGTATTCTTAATTAAATAATTATCTCAGGCAGCATATGTCTTTTTAAAAAGAAAAAAAAGATCTGAAATATTCCCTCATTACATCCCTAATGGTAATTGAATTGACTCAGAAAATACAGTATCCTAACCACTAATTATAATTCCCTCCTTGCCTCATGTGTTTTTTTATCTTAACCTAAATTTTGATTTTACTTTTTAGACTTTCATCTTATTTTGTACAAACAAAAAGCTGAAGAACCAACACGTTAAAAATCAAGATTCCGTATATGGACGACTCTAATTATATCATGTTCTAACAATGTTATACAGTAATTACAAATGGTGGATCATCAGAGCAATGATAGTCTCTTTGGCTTGATACGGCTAAATAAATCAGTCTGTCATAGAGTTATTCACGGTATACTTATTTCATTTCCAAAGTCCATTGACCTTTGGTGAAACTGAGGGAATTCGTCAAAATTAGGTGACAACACAAACAAGTCGAAATTTTTTTCTTTTTTTTTTTCCTTAGAATTAATTAAATTTTTGTGACAAGGGTAGTGGAAGTGTGGAACCATATTTTGCTTTGTAACAAGTTGCTTTTTCACAACAATCATTTGCCTAAAATATGTTGTCAACTCCAAGTCTTCAGAATCGACCAATTCTCTGGAGTGGTATTGAATTAGAAATTTAGAACTTTCAAGTGGAAATTAGGAACGAAAAGCATACTTTTCTTTCAAAAAATGAAAAACAAAAATACACTGTCCTTTCTAAACTAAGAATCATGTTTATCAACTTAAGATTAATGGTGAGAATTGGCAACTTATTGAACTCTTGTTTGTTCGTTTTCTTTGTTTGTCGTTGAAGAAAACTTCTAACTATTAATTTTCATGTGACCAAGAGTTTGCCACTACTATTATTACCAGTGATTCCTTTGGGATCCTTATTTAAAAACGACAATGGATATATATCCGTTGTTATCATCTAGCTTAGTTTAGATATTTCCCAATGTCAGATTACTGAAGATATTTCATCATCTGAAAATCGATTAGGGAAATAGGTATAAAATCTTCTTCAAATATTAATTATTCTTGTGCCTTCTTTAAATTAAATTTCTTTCTTAAAAAGAAAATTGAAAAACATCTTCAAAATTTTCGAGAAAGTTAATATTCCCTCCGGTCCTTAATATAAGACATTTTAATTTGTCCTAAATTTAACCTAGTACAAATTTTTAATCGACGAAAAAATCTTTAAAATATTTCATAACGATCAAAAGGACATAACGAATGTGAAAATATAGTTTTAAGGTTTTTTTGTCAATTAAAAATGTGTACTAAGTGTAATCTACAAAAAGTCAAAATGCCTAATAATAAGGACATGAGGGAGTACATTGGTAGATTTTTCTTTTATTCCTAGTTACCTGAAATATTTGGTGGATACAATTCACTTAATATGAACGTAACACAAAAGCTTACTCGGGAAAAATAAAAAAGCCCCCCAATAATTTCAACAGTAACCTTGGATCTTAAATCAATTCCACGTACTCTCTCCATTTCAAAATGTAGGTCGTTTTAGGTTTGAAAAGATTTTTCAAAATGTAGGTCGTTTTACAAATTCTAGGTAAATTAATGACTATTTTTCTAATTTTACCCTCAATAAATGATGCCAATATATTTTCATTTAGTCTCGTTTATAATTCTAATATAAGTAATGAGGGGTAAAACAGATACTTAACACATAATTAATTATTGGATGATTGTCTCTTTAGTATACGTGCAAAGTTCAAAATAACTTATATTTTGAAATGGAGGGAATATATTAACTAGAAAATTGCCAACTTAACTTTATATGAGATTTATTTGTTTTTGTTTTCTAATTAATTTTGTAAGAATTGACAAACGAAACTGGGTTCGAGTTTCGACGGGACTGAAATTGTATCCTTTGAACCCGACGGTGGATCTGCTTATCTTTTTCCTCGGATCTTCTCTTTGATTTTCCCCCTTTTTTTGTTTTTGTTTCAATATTAATTATTTATCTGTACAAAAACTACATTAAATTCTTCAATGAAGCCTTATATTCTTCAAATTTATGTTTAGTGAATGATTGTAGCATTGTTTGGCTTTATCTCGATGCACAAAAATTGTAAAGCAGCTTGGATTTTGCAAGGACAAGTAAAATTAGATACTGAGGGAAGATATATTTCATCTGTACTGTTTGTCCATTAATTTGGATGTACAAATCATTAATCATTTTGATTAATCCTAAGTAATTTTATTACTGCGAGTATCGTATTATTTACAGTAAAAATTTAATGCAAAGATTTTCTTCTTTCTTCAGTTTCGGAAAATTAATCCAATTCATTGCATACTAGACTTTGATATTGAGTGTCACGCTTGGTTGTATAGTTTTCTTATCACAATCGAATCAAATGGTCAAAATCAGATAATTGTGAAGAGGGTTTACTTGAAGAATCAATGATTTGCCAAGCGAATGGTGATTAAAATTAAACTTATGCCTTTAAATCATCTAGCAAAGTGAAACATCCAAGAGACCTAGCAAACAATTTTTATTATTTTTTTTCAAATGGTAGAGAAAACACTGAAATTAATGTTAATTAATTTAGGAAATTTACTGAAACTGCGTCGCATCATTGGATGCGTGCAGTACAAAAGAGAGAGTAGAATAAAAAAGGAGAAGAAAGGGACCAGGTCCACTATATTGCCCAAATTAAACGGCATTTACTTTACTGAATAATCTCCATTCTCAAAGGAAAAGGAGTTAGCCACATTTTTCCCACTTTACTCATTCGATCCAATTTTTAAGATCCATAATTAAAGGGGGGAAAAAAAGATCCAAATTAATGTCAATTTTTTTTTTTAACATTTATTTCTAATCCTTAAAAAAATTAAAAAGAAATCACAAGTAATTAATTCAATGTCTATCCAATATTACTATTACTACAAAATCTCTTGGTGCTTATTACAAGTTTAATTTTTTTTCTAATTTAAGTATTGATTACTATAATATTTAGTACATGCATCTATAAAAATCTTGTGAATATCACCAAATTCACCTATGCAGATTTAAAGTCTGTCCAACAATCTCTTCTTCGGTTGTTTTGTACCTTTCTTTTCATGTCACTTCTTTTTTTTCCGTTCTATTTTAAGAGCACGATAGCTACATATAATTCATATACTCAATCGCACATTCGGTAAGACGATGACTTTGTTGTTTTTCTTCTTCTCATTGTTCTTTTCCTTGCAAACCAAATGTGCTGTGTTTTTTTTTTTCACTAGGAAGTAATTAAAAGGGTGTCTTTAGGAGGGAGTGTAAAACCGTAAAATAAGATGAGAGGATAGAGAATTGAATGCAAAAACTCGCATGTTACATGTCTTCATGCATATACTCACTCAATTAATTAAGTTGGTACCAATTCACAAATTTATTGCTGTTTGCCGTTTTGTGAGAAAAAGGATTTAATTACTTCATAAAATTAAAATCACCCCCATATTTACAGATCTTTTTTTCACAAATTTTTATTATATATTTAATTTTAATTGTTTGGTTGTCTAGATGCATGTATATATAAGAAATCACTTGGGTAAAGAAATGCTTGTCAACTACTCCTTTTAGTAGTATCCACTCTCTTTATGCTTCAAAACAGAGGAGAGGAACAACTTCACAAGCACTTCCCTTCACACACACACACACCCACACACACACACACACTCAGAAAAAAGGCAGAGAGAAAGGGCTAAAAAAGTTTTCTTTTTTTTCCTTTTGGTGTGAGAATTGAAGTTGATTTGGGTTCTTCTTGAGTGTCATGGAGAAACATAGATGTAAGTTATGCCATAGGAATTTTGCTAATGGCAGAGCTTTAGGTGGGCACATGAGATCCCACATGATGAATCTTTATGCATCATCCAAGCCCAAAAAGCAAGAATTTTTCATGGAAGAGATTGAGTCAGTTCCATCATCATCTTCACCATCATCAGAGGATGAAGAAGAAGTAGAGATTGAAGGTAAAGGTTTGTTCTTTTCTTATGGGATGATGAGTACTAATAAGAACAGAGGAGGCTATGGTGGTGACGGCGGGATGGAGGCGGATTCCGATCATTTCTATGCCGGTCCGGGAAGTTCTGTTGTTGTACAAGACAGGGAAAGTGAGACCGAGTCATCCAAGAATTCCAATATCCGTAGAAGATCCAGAAGAGTAAGGAAATCAAGAATTTCGGATGCAATTCAGTTCTCTTCTTCTTCACAGTTCAACAATTGCATGCCAGAGCAAAAACCCAAGTCAGAAGAAATTCCTGAATTAGTACTTCCAGTTGTTACTATGGATGCTGAACCGGTTAGTTCAATTTCTGACACCAGCCCAGATGAAGATGTAGCTCATTGCTTGATGATGTTATCTAGAGACAAGTGGCACCAAAAGAACATTGAAGAAGAAGAAGAAGAAGAAGAAGAAGAAGAGGGATTTTTTGCAGAAGCAGAGGAGGAAGAAGAGGAAATTGAGATTAAGAGGAATCCAAGACATGATTTTGGAGTTATTAAAGTGACCAAAAGTAGTAGGAGCAGAGGAAAGTACAGATGCGAAACATGTAACAAAGTTTTTCGTTCTTATCAAGCTTTAGGTGGTCACAGAGCAAGTCACAAGAGAGTTAAATTCCAAAACACAAACAATTCAGTTTCAGCAGAAGAAGATCATCATCATCAACAACAAACACAAGGGAACAACATTTCGGTTTCGGTTTCGGTTTCGGTTGCAGAGAGAATTCATGAATGCCCTGTTTGTTACAGAGTATTCTCATCAGGTCAGGCACTTGGTGGGCACAAAAGATCACATGTAATGGGTGCTGCGGCTCAATATCAGCAAATTAGTAGTACTATTCTTGCTGCACCTAAAAAAAAACCAGCTCCAACTTTCATAGATCTTAACCTTCCAGCTCCAATTGAAGAGGATGATGATCTCAGTCAAATTGAAGTTTCTGCAGTTTCTGATGCAGATTTTGTCAACCCTTTTAAGCATTGATGATTACATCAAGTTAGCCCCTTTTTTTAATTGCCTTTTTTTTTTCGAGGGAAAGAGGAAGAAATAGTTTATACTTCTTAGTTAGAGGTGAAGTTTTGGATTCTTGTAAGCAGCAATATTGCATTGAAGGAAGGTATGAATTGTATGGACATTGTTTTTATTACTGATATCATCATTTTGGTTTTCTTCTTCACTGTTTTGGCCGTGATCCACTTTATTCCAAATTCTGTTCCAACCCTTTTAAAAAAAACTAATTACAACAACATCAAAATTGACCAAAATTCAAGCTTATATTAGGCCCTAATCCGACGTAAACCGGTCTAGAAAAAACACACACTGAACAAACGAAACAGAAGCAACAGAGATAGCCTTAAATGTATCTTTTTTGTGGGGTGAATATGTGGAAGATTTCTTGCATGTCAACAAATTGTTCCGTGATACTTTGCGAGATGTCCCACTATGATGTGCTTTTAAGCCTCATGTGATGAGGAAAAAGGCCTTAATTAGTGAGGGTCAAACTATACTATTTATTAGTCAAGTTAGAAAATACTCGTATTTCTTTTGTGCCAAGTGCACACACTTGCAACCCGGCGTTAGTTTCTTACCATTTATTTATTTTATTTTTTTTAAAAAAAGGTTAAATTACAAGACACTGTAGAAAACGTAACAAGAATATGTTACTTTTATTACGTTTTGTTTTGTTCACATTCGAAAGCTTGAGTCCAAATGAAATTTCTAAGTTGAAAAAAGTAACCATGGCGATCATAAAGATTTGAACCTACAATTTGATAGAAACATGTGATTGCAAGCTTTGTAACTCGAAATTAGATATACTGATTAAGGTTAGAGTGCCAACTTGAATTGAAATAAAAATATAAAATAAAAATTGATAATTAAAAAAAAAAAGTTGTAAAAAGGAACAGATAATATTATTTGCATGCAACCTATTTCTTTGTCATTTGCTGAAGTGTGATTACTGCCGCAATGCTACGGCTTTACCACCTAGCACATTTCTGGTTATTTTCCAATTCTTCCCCACTCTTCTGACCGAGTGAAGTAGTTTCAAATAGTACTGTTTTTAATTAATTTTTATAGCCATTCACATCGTCATAAAATAAGTAGGAATTTCAACTGAGCAGTTCAGATAAACTGGAATTAAATATTAAGTCAATTATTATTAAATTCTTAAGATCAAACGAACAAATCAATCATTGTTACTAATGGTAATTAAAAACAAAATCACTTTCTCCGTGAGACTGATCAATTCTGTTCTTGCCCTTTGTATTTGCTTCCAGCATTTTTCTCTCTCTTTGTGTTTCTTTTTTTATGTCTGAAACTTTGAAGACAGTGAAGAGCCTGCATTGGTTCCAGAACTTACATAACTTAGTACAAAAGGTCTGATGATCAATCACCATCTTTACTGACTGCAATTCTATTTTTTCATAACAAACTTTACTTGAAAGTTGAAACTTTAAAAAGGGCCATTCAACTTGCCTGAATCTGATTTTTTCATCCTAACTCAGAATTTCATTTGACACATTAACGCATTGAAATTTTGATGTAGAAATGTGGGTTGAATTTTGATGGTCAAACAGAGGACCTTGAACCAATTCAATTTTCAATTCATGGCAATGACCATCTCATCTGTACTCACTCATGTCTTGGATTTTTTATGTGGTATTTTTTGGATAGAGGTATTTACAATTCGACGAACAAATTAGTTAGTGTTATCGATAATAAATATTCTATCAAAATCCATCAATTTCAAATAATCAAATAATGCGTACTCATGTAAGCAAAGACTGAAGAAATCTTCTTAACTTCTAATTGAGTATTCATTGACCTCTCTCCACTTGTGCATTCATGTGCAAATATACCAACTAATTCCGCGTACAAAATTTCCAATGTGTAAGATGAGAAAGAACATTGCATAGATGCTACCATATTCTGAATGGAAAAAAAAAATTACCATACGTAAAGAGCACGACAATAATATATAATGTATTACTCTTACCATTCTGAAATGATTTTTTCAGTTTGGATTTCTATTTTCAGTACAAATTGTATTAAAAGTGAAAACTTAAATAACACAATAATTTAAAGATAAATAGAATATAATCGCTCGATTCGCCGATTGGTCCGACTCGTAATTCACTTTTGACCCCGTGTTCGACAGCCTTAAAGAGTTATATAAATACTCGATTTTACTCTTTGTATGCTAACTTGCCACCGAGGAGACATGGTTTTCCGTTTACACTATCAAAATGGATCACTGGCCTATATAATATTCCATCTGTCTCATAATTATTGTCAGTTTAAGTTTTCGTTTTTAGTTTAAATTGTACTAAAAGTGAAATCTCAAACTTGACAATAATTTTGAGACAGAGAAAGAACTAATCAGAGGGAAATCAATCGATACGACTTGGCATTGAGAATGCATTTTGAACAAGTTGAAAATGAAAGGACATTTGAAGCTTGCCTACGCGTGAAATATAAACCCTTGTCAATTCGGTGCAGTTTTGGGTAAGACTTGTCTAGAGGGCTATGTCATTGGATCAATGCAATTTGGATATGTTAAGAGGAAACTGCAAGCACTTCGTACTCTTATTGCAATTCTCTATTTTTATTTTATTTTATTTTATTGGTCTATTGTTATTACATTTTTATCAAGGTAAATATGATTACCACGACTTTGTGTCCTAAAAAATAATGGTCAATACAGATTATGTAGTGACTGTTCGAAATAAGATATGTATACGTTCAAGATGCGTCATGGTTTCTGTAACGGAAAGAAAATACACTATTTTAATACAAATTTGAAAACTAAATGTAATGTACTTTATTGGGACAGAGGAGTACATATTTGAAAATAAAACAGGAGACTCTGGTTACCCAATGTTCTCTAAACCTAGTCACTTCTTCTCAAAGGATCCACAACATTTCCGAGTTAAAATCTAGCCTAAATAGTACAATTACTAAAGGCGGATAAAAGAAATGAACGTTTCCATCCTCACGATATGTATTCCCTTATTCAGCAAAGTGAAATTTCCACTCGTCAGTTTGTAAGTAGATAATTAGTTGGAACTTTGGACAAAGCAAGCGAGCGCACTACAATTAGAGATGTCACAAGTGTAGCTGATTAGAAACTAGAAGAAAAAACAAACCGCGATCCTTAATGTCAATTGTCAAATAGAAAAACAAAAATATATATCATTCGATTCATTTTTAATGTCCATACAATAACATTAGTTCATGCTTCTTGTTGAAATAAAGTCAATTTAGAGTCCACATCTCAAGATAGAGAGCTGACTAAAAGGTGACTTCATTGGTGCTAGCTATCTAATAACAATTGAACATGCCTTTCTCTAATTTTGAATATCCTCATATCTTTATTCTAAGTCAACTTACATTTTTTTTTATATATTACAGGGTGTCCACCATCGATAACTGTGACTAATTCCCCTCACTCAACTCACATCATTAATTACTCAATTCCTCTCACAAATCAAAATAATAAAACATTTTGTCGAACTAAAACAGTATCGCAACAAAATCTATTCCTATATATAAATTGTTAGTCCCAAAATGGTTTGTCGTCGTCGTCCATACCGATAACATAGTGCAGTACTTCCTTTCCATTTATTTAAAAATTTTTTATAGGCTATAGCTTGAATAGGTTGGCCACTTTTTTATCATTTGCCACGTGTTTATATTGCTGGCGTTATGCATCAGGAGATATCATCAAAAACTTAAAAATGAATCCAATTATGTTTCTAACCATTAAAAGTTGAGAAACTTTTTAAATGAAAAATACAACATCGAATAATAATATTTTTTCTAAATAACATAATCTATTTGACTTCACAATATTTTAGATATCTAATGATATTAAGAATATAGTATAATCATATAAAATGTGATATCCGAATTAGTGCTTCGTTTATTCGTCTCTCAATCCCAAAAAATAAAAAATAGAAAAACGGGTTCAAAAGAACATAACAAAACGTTTGTTACTTTAAAGTCTCAGATGGTATTATATTCTTGAATGTAAATGAGACTCACTCATAACTTGTCATCGGTTAAGAACATATTTTCGATAAATAAAAAATAACAAAATTGTCACAATTTATCATTATTTGATGAATGTTGAAATTGAATAAATTATAAATTTTTGTCGACTATTTCTTTATAAGAGAATTTGTATTAAGTAGTATTTGTCTTTATTAAACAATTCAAGAATCATGTTTTGTTATTTTGCACATGAAATCCACAGAGATTTTAAATTTTACAATCATTAAAGAAAAATCCATTTACTTCATATAGTTTTTGCTTTCTATCAAAAAAATAATAATAATAATAATTTTTACAGATTATGTAAATCTTTGTGGATTTATATTTTAAAAAAGTTATAACGGGATATAAGTTCTGACAATAAATCAAAGATCTCTGCATCTTTTTAAAGGAATGAATTTTGAAAAAGTATATATTGTCCTATATATAAACATAATACGTAAGGCATTAACCAAAAAGAAAAAAAATCTTTTTTTTTTATTTTTTTTTATATCGTCCAGAATCCCACCAAAGATGGGTAAACCTAAATCCACCAAAGATGAGTAAACCTACGCCCACTGCAATAGCCTACAAATCGAAGTGGAAGGTAAATCACCCTAAACATGCCCGGGGTGACAAGCTCTGGTGCAACATCAGGAGTTTGTTAGTGGGTTAGTCATAACAAGTCCTTAGAGGTGACAATAGACAAGATGGGGGATTGAACTCATGACCTCCTCTTGGAACAAGGGTGGTGTTACCACTGAACCAAATCCTCATTCGCCTTTTCCTCATTTGTGTAGATTATTTTTTACCTTATATTTATAATTTTTTGTTTACCTTCAGTCTTCAATAGTTTTGATCGTGTAAAAACATAAATGGAAAAGATGTAACTACATGTTAATTTCATGTATTAAATCATACTATTATACTAAAAGGCTCTATCTAAAGATTGTAACTAGGCGGGGCTTCGAAACAACTAGTATGCTATTAAAGTGGGACGTAGAGATCAATATGTAATAATGGAAAAGGTCAACATGTATACATATGATACCACAATAAGAAGAAGTAAATCCAGAATGGCAACTAGCTAGCCATTGGATGAAAGGAATAGAGCCCTGT